CACAATATCTCACCAGTTACCTCTAATCCTGCTATATATTCTAACGGGGATCGAAAGCCTCTAGCCTTTCAGTTAAGAAAACCTAATGAACCAGGTTGTTCCCTTATCTCCATACAAATAAAAATATTAGCTTCAAAAAAAAGTCAGAGGTAAGATATTCTAGGGGATCAGGAATAAAGGTGTAAAGTACAGATAACAGTCAAGAATGGTCAGCAGACCTGTTCAGCAGAGACTGAATAAAATGTGTAGGAGAGGGATGAAAAATAAGACTGAAAGCTAAATTGAGGGAATATAATAGGGAGTATGAAATTCATTCTTCTGTCCGGTCAGAAGTGAAAAACAAGAAAGATTTCACTTGCAGGTCTTTGTAATTTGGCTTTGACCTTCTCCCTCTATAGAGTCTTTTTTTCTCAAAGGTCTTCTAAACTTAAACTTCTAAACAGTGCTTCTAAATTTTAAAGTACAAATCAATGACTTGAGGCCCTCCCATATGGTAGTGAAACATTGCAAAATTGTAACTGAGACAGCGAAATAAATCTGACCTAACCAACTCCATCTTGCTTCTAATCTCCAAGCTGTCCTTGTTCATTCCTGGGTAAAGGCCAACCTAACTTTGGCAGGAACTTCTTTTATAGTTTACAGTTTAAAACAAAGATGGTAACAGCCCTTTCCCAAGACAGAACCCCTTCTTGTCTGGAGACTAGATTGCCTTTGTGGGACTAACAAATTAGCCAAAAGGTTAGAAATTATGGTTTAGGAGTCATGCAGTTGGAGGTTACAAGATTCTGACCCTTCCCAAGTCACTCCTGGGGATAACATCACTATTGTAAAGCCTAAGATCAGTGCTTGAGATATTTTGCAGACCCTGCACTTGATGGATCAGCTGGCATCACCTAGATCTAACTGGCTCATCTGATCTTGTAGCCCCCACCCAGGAAATGACTCAGCATAAGACAGCTTTGACTCCCTGTGATTTCATCTCCAACCTGACCAATCAGCACTCCTGACTCTCTGGCTGCACTCCCCCACCCTCAATGCCTGGGGAGACTGATTTGAGTAATAATAAAACTCCAGTCTCCCACACAGCTGGCTCTGAGTGAATTACTCTTCCTCTATTGCAATTCTCCTGTCTTGATAAATCAGCTCTGTCTAGGCAGCAGGCAAGGTGAACCTGATGGGGTAGTTACACAGTAGGTGAGGCCTAGGATTCTACATTTTCAACAAACTCCCAGATGCTACCATACTCCTTCCTGCAGCTCATCCATGGACCACATTTTGAGTACCAAGGGTCTGATCCAGTAACCTCTTCTCATTCTCATCTTGCTCAACAATGCTAGTCCTTGTTGATCTTCCTGAAGCTCTCATCATTGGTTTCTGACTCATTATTGGCTTCTGTGATTCTCTCACCTGAATCTTTAAATTTACATTTAAAGACCAATCTTTAGATGTATGCATCAGTTTCCTCTGACGTGTAATGTATTGTCCAGGCAACTGTCTGTGCATCAATCTCTTTAGTCTTTTAAATGAAAATATTGCAAATCATCTTCTTATAAAAGACAGATCTATATCGTTATAGAAAATACCTATTGCCCATTTCATGATGTATCTGGTTTATCTGGAAAATAATCTCCCCTGAGGTTCCCTACCTCACCTGTCCCACCAATCTGCATAGGGATTAGCTACAGTTGATTGGTACATAGGTGGGCCCCTACTAATGCTGTGTTATTGTTAGTCTTTCCCCAGGATTTTGGACTAGAACCAAAAACAAAAGCAAGTTAGTCTCTCACTCTCTCCAGGAATAAGAAGTCAAGAGCATATATACATGGAAGCTTTTGAGGATCACATTCTGATACACAGACTAAAGAACAACAACAACAACAAAAAAACAGCAGTCAACTGTGAGAAAGAGGACTGAGGAGGACACCAGGGGAGCACAGGGAAATAGCTTCAAAATGTGGCACCCTGACAACCTCTTATATCTCCACATGGACCAGGCAGGCAAGGTTAGACAACAGACTGGACTGAGCCTTGGCAGAATGTCCTGTGATTTCTCCAAGTGAAAGGGTAGATAAGCAGCCTGGGGAGGAGCTGCTGTCCTGTGGAAGACTGCCACAAGGCTGCTTCTCTTCCCTCTCCCTAGTTTCAGTTGAATGCAAGACTTTCCACCTTACCCCCACGTAGGTTACAGCTGCAGACCTCAACATAAGTCTATAAAACTGTGTGGCTGTGGTTTAGAGGTAGATCCTTAACAGCAGAGTGACCCACTCGTCCCACCTATCCTCTGGTCTCTTCTGTTCAGTGCTGACTGTGGTGCTATGGGCACAGAGAGCTGGCACCATGATGTCTTGCTTTTGCTGCCTGTATAACTAATAAACTATCTGACTGCATTTGGGCATGCTTACTCCTTACCAGGTAAGTGTCAGGATGTGCAAGCCATCCTGACAGGTGTAGTAGTAATACTTGTGGCCCTATATATTACCTGCCTCCCTGCGGCCTTAGGAACATTTGACTACTTAAAGAGAAGAGAAGGAGACACTTCACTTCCTGAGTTATCCTCAGCACTCCAGCCCCTTATTCCAGTTTGCTCCAAGAATGCATCCCAGACCTTGAATTCCACCAGATACCCTGGTATCTCTCTAATAAACCTCCCAGTTTCTTTTCTTTTTCCCCTAAGAAAGCCAGCCTGTATCTTTGGCCTTTACAAACAAAAGGTCATCACACACATACACACACACACACACACACACAAGTGTTGTATTCAAGGACAATATCAGTGATTAGAACTACAGTGCCAGAGATTCTAATGCATTTTCTGTTTTTATTAAAATTCTTCCTCTCTTGTGTATTGATTTCTATCTGGCCCTTGACCAATTATATATAATACAATTAGCCCACATGTATCAATAAAGTTTTATGAAAATGTTTTTGGCCAAGTAAAAGAAAATATAATTCTTTTTTACTATTATGAAAGTATAAATTACTCTAATCATTTATTAATAACTCCATAGTATTAACTATGTAAATCAACTTTGCTGCTATTTTTAATTTATCTTATAAATATCCTAATTTGCATTTGTATTAGTTACATTTATAAGAATATATGAGGGAATCACACATATTTATGCCAAGTACTTATCACTCAGAACAGCGCAAGTAAGATTAGAGTTTGATCTACTTTTTTTTTTTTTTTTTTTTTTTTTTGAGACGGAGTCTCGCTCTGTCGCCCGGGATGGAGTGCAGTGGCCGGATCTCAGCTCACTGCAAGCTCCGCCTCCCGGGTTTACGCCATTCTCCTGCCTCAGCCTCTGGAGTAGCTGGGACTACAGGCGTGCACCACCACGCCCACCTGATTTTTGTATTTTTAGTAGAAACGAGGTTTCACCATGTTGGGGAGGTTGGTCTCGATTTCTTGACCTCGTGATCCGCCTGCCTCGGCCTCCTAAAGTGCTGGGATTACAGGCGTGAGGCACCATGCCTGGCCGAGTTTGATCTACTTTTAACATTCTTTGAGTTTAGGTGTGCCTAATACCTAGTATGATCATATAAATTAGCATACAGGTGCTTATGAGTCATTAGTCTTAGCTCAGGATGTTAATCAATTGGCCTCATTTTCTCTTTGGACGAGCTGAGTTTTCTTTGATCAGGGTCATAGACTACAAGCCAACGAGTCAGGTTCAGAAGACAGAACCTTAGGCATTGTGGAATTTTACCAAAAACGGTAAATAAATTGGTGCAAATTCATCATCACAATTGGAAAACTGAAAGAGCAAGCAGTGGGGCCACTGCTATTAAAATAATGGGTGGTGGCTCACGCCTGTAGTCCCATCACTTTGGGAGGTCAAGGGGGTCAGATTGCTTGAACCCAGGCGTTGGAGACCAGCCTGGGCAACATGGTGAAACCCTGTCTCCACCAAAAAAAAATATATATCCTTCCCCTACCTCCCCCCAAAAATTAGACGGGCATGGTGGTGGGTTCCTGTAGTCCCAGCTACTCGGGAGGCTGCAGTGGGAGGATCACTTGAGCCCGGGAGGTTGAGACCAGTCTGGGCAACATGGCGAAAGACCATCTCTACAAAAAAAGATTTTAAAAAATAGCCGGCGTGGTGACGCGCATCGGTAATTCCAGCTACTCAGGTGGACCCGGGAGGCAGAGGGTGCAGCGAGTTGAGATCGCGCCACTGCATTCCAGCTCCGGTGCCTTCCAGTCTGGGCAACAGAGCGAGACTCCATCTCAAAGAAAGGAAGGGGAAGGGGAAGGGGGATTGATTTTACAATTTTCTGTAAGAAATGAATGGTTCTAATGTGATATTGATGAAATATCATCTTTAAGAAAGTGTACAGATTGTGAGTGACACACGTGGCTGCTTATGGTACTCCTGAGATGCAAGTAGGTGATGACATAATGATAACCAGTCATAATTTGCAGTAGTCCCTTACAAAAAGTCCAAATTTGTTTGAAAATACAGTAACTTTTACTAGTCGAAGTTAAACATTAAACATCTTCTAGTCATTGCTTTAACATGATTTATTAGAGTTACCATAATATAATTTATTGAAATAAGGGCTAGATTTATAAAATGTTTTCTGGTGATGAGCCAATTATGGCAATTATTTTAATTATATATTTATAATAAAAATGCATGACTGTAAGATTAAATTTTAAACCAAAGCATAATTTATATTTTAAAATAGCTTTAAAATACTTGCACATAACACATCTCGTGGTTAGTAACTTTCTCCAGCTACATTTAAAAGTATTTCCGAAATTACAACATTTTTTCCTAAAGGTTTACTTTTTCCCCACAGCATAACTCTGTAAATTAACGTGAGCCCATTATATCAAAGGTGTTTATGTGTGTCACATACGCATTTAATTTTAATATCTTTATTTAAGGCACGAATATCCCCCAAGCAAGCACAGTATGCAATAAGAAGTCCTGTGGAGTCCTGTAAGTACTTTGATGAGGAAGGCAGGATTTATATAAGATTCGCGAGCTTGAAGAAAGACTCTACAATTGATAAAACTAAGTCAGACCGAACTGGTTCATTTTCAAGTAAAATAGCTTGCAAGACAAAAAGACCGCCTCAAAGTCGCTGCCCTTGGGGCTCTCCCACTTGCTTTACACGCTAGGAACGGAGAATGCCGGGAACCCAAGAGCGGCCGGCGCGGACGCCGAGGCAACACTACTTGGGGCACCCGGTACTCGCCGTTAGCTCCCGGCCTCCTTTGCTCTCGCGCCTCCAGGGGCTCAGGCACTGCTCCGGGAGCGCGGAATGTTGAGGAAGACGGCGGAACTTCAGTAGGGAGACCTATCTGGGAAACGTTTTCAGGACACGCGGTGGGGAAAGCAACTAGCCTCCGGCGGGGCAGGGCGGGGTAGCCTTACCTGCAGAACCACCGGCCACGATCTGCCGAGAAGCCTCGCGCACTAAGCCGACTTCAGGCTTGGCGGACATCTTCGCCGGGAGGAGGACGAGGGAGTGGGCTGATATGTGTGGGCGAGCTCGCCGCCTGCACAGCCTACGAATCCAGAGAGCCCCTGCTGGGCTGGTCCTCGGGCGGGTTGGCTCCCTGTGGGGCAGCAATCCGGCGACTGCTGGAAAGCGAGGGTTCGAGGCGCAGATTCGTCGCGCGATCTGCCGCGAGTCGGAACCTGTCAGCAGTGCTCTTGCAGAGGCGCCCTCGGCTCCGAAAATGTCCCTGGAAATAAGACTCGGGGATGGGGTTGGGTTGGCTCTTCGCAACGAGTCAGGCTTTGTCTCCTGGATTGGCGCCCACGCCCTTCTCTATCAGGAGCCTCCGGCAGAGTTTGTCAAACTGGACGCGCTGCCTCTGATAACTCAAGTGAAATGACCCAGGCCTGGAGCGCCAAGTGCAAAGCTGGGACGACCGTTGCACCTCCTGGCATGCCAGAGCACAGTGAGGTTCAAAAGAAGGGACAAGTGAATAAATTCCTCAGTTAGTTATCCTGTAATTGTGGTCTGTAGCAGCTAAGTCAAAGCAAATCTAATTTACACTTACCTTACAATAGAGCTAAGGTAGTACTTTACCAAAAATGGTTTTGATTTAAGGTAAAAATCATACCTCATCAACTTGAGTTTTATTTACCTAAGGACCAAAAGAAGAAAAAGCCTGCTTATAAATAGTTTCTTCTATACCCAGATCAGTGGTTCTTAAAAGTGGTTTTAGTACCCACAGCAGTAGCATAATTTGTGAATTTGTTAGGAAGTCAAATTGGTGGGCCCCACCCCGACCTAAACTGAATCAGAATGTCTGGGGATAGGGCCCAGAAACAAGTTCTCTGTTGGTTGTCATGAACGTTAAAGGTTGTGAACCACTGACCTAAACAATTGAGGAACATTAAGGAACTTACAGTGTATTCTCTCTACAAAAGGTTTGGTTATTCGTACTAGCACCTTAGGATAGTTACCAAAACAAAACTACTAATTTATACTCTTTTTAAACTACAAGTTGCCTATTTTATGTAGGAGAGATATAAGATTGTGAAATTCTCCAAAAATACCTGCCACACCCCTAACAGACAGGAGATGATAAGAGTAAAACAGAGAACTGGGAGGCTTTAGAAGCCCTATTGTAATATTTCTTAAAACACATTATTTAATGCTAAACATATTTAGTGTGAGCCATATAAAAATTGCCATTTTTGGAGGTCAAAAACCGTTGAATATCAGCAATTAGTATAGTTCAATTTATGTGATTTCTAATGTACCAAGTGCAATAATTTGGTCTCATACTTGATTTTTTATTTCTTAGGCTGAGTCATTAAAAGTTGATCAGTGATATCTGGCAAAATTATTTAAAGTGCTTGAGGAATTGGGGAGACTTGCTGCTTATGTGATCAGATACACAAAAATGAAGTTTTTCATTTCATTAAATATTTGATTAAAACTGCTAAGTTTGAAAATGTTTACCAAGAAATAGTTTGCAGAAATTTTGCTAACTTGATAGAATAAAGGCTTTTGAGCAATATCTTTCAGACTTTTACTAATTAAATATGGAATCTTGAGTGCAATATAGAATCACTTATTCAACAAATACTGAGAACCTGTTATATATTAGGCATAGAAACAATTTCAGAGCTCATAGAAAATGTTTTCCTCATTTTTCAAAGCAGAAATTTAGTTTTCCAAGATCCCTCGGGAGTAATAGTATAGCTGGGATTCCATCGCAGGATTCCTTCTTTTGATAGCAGTAGATTGTGGATTTAAATATTAACCAAAGGCTAAACAAACTACAGTCTGTCACACAAATAGCCCCACAAATTAATTCCATTTTTTTTAAGTTTTTAAAAATTTGGTCACAACTATTAAACCTCAATGCACACACTGAACCAAATTCTACACTGAGAGCTGAAAGTGAAAAAAGCAAGACTTGATATCACATATAATCCAGTCCTATACCTCTAGAATACTAGAGGATATGGGGCCTAGGCATGAGAACATTCTAGAGGTTGGGAGTCAACAAGAGTGAAGACAGAGCCAACGAGTACTCACTGTGCTAAACACTCTGCTAAACGCTCTGATAATAGAATGTAAATCTCATCTGCAGCTAAATTTGCTCATGGCCAATATTGGAATGCTGGAAGATTTAGTGCTGAGAAAAAATGGTAATATTTACTTGACCTATTTCAGATTCCCTAGCCTCTATCACATTGTTCTATTATTATTTTGAATAATGATGTGATATCCTAATGGGGCAAAACTGCTAAAGTATGAAGATTATATTTTTTAAATTATTGATTTATTTAGCTGATCTTGGTTGATAATTACATGATTAAATTATTGACTTCCCTATCATTTGTCAAGTGGCTAAAAAAACCGTTCAGGAACATTACTGGGAATCTAGGAGTTAATAAAACCTCTAAGCCGTCAACATGCAGAAATCCATTTAAAACTAATGTTAGAACCAATTTTTTAAAGGGTGGATATCTGATTTCTTGTTTCATATCAGATTAGAAAGAACATATTAAAAGATAATTGGGTTGTTTGGGGAGAATAGGGGAGGTTCTAGAAAACTAAAGAGCAATCTGCTACGTTCAGGCCATATTCAGCCTATCTAGTCAATTGTAATCACAACGTTCATCGACTATACCTTCTCCCAGGCACTGGGCTAATAAGCATTTTGTAATCCATTATCTCATTCCTGTTTTACAAAGGAGGAAACTGGCACTGAGATTAAGTAACTTCCCCAAAATAACACAGTATTTGGCTGAGGTATTAATTTGAACCTAAGTATAATTTAGGAGCCTTCTATTTGGTATGCTATGGGTTTTTTTTGTTTTGTTTTAATTTTTAAAATAATCTTTTGTAGAGACAAGTTCTTTCTGTGTTGCCCAGGCTGATCTGGAACTGCTGGGCTGAAGCAATTTTCCCATATATGCCTCCCAAGGTGCTGGGATTACAGGTGTGAGTCACACCAGGCCCAGCCACGCTATGTTTATTATTAGACATATGACATTAGGCTATATTTATTATGTTTATGATTAGGCTATATTATTAAGCTACTATTTTGGGGAGTTTGTTGTTGTTGCTGTTATTGTTGTTTTGTGAGATGGAGTCTCATCCTGTTGCCCAGGCTGGAGTTCTATGGCGCTATCTCAGTTCACTTTAACCTCTGCCTCCCGGGTTCAAGCGATTCTCCTCAGGCCCCTGAGTACATGGGATTACAGGTGCACACCACGACGCCTGGCTAATTTTTGTGTTTTTAGTACAGAAGGAGTTTCACCATGTTGGTCAAGCTGGTTTCAAACTCCTGGCCTCAAGTTATCCACCAGCCTCAGCCTCCCAAAATTCTGGGATTGCAGGCATGAGACACCAGGCCCAGGCTTGGCTTGTTGTTATTTTAAAACAACAACAACAAAACAACAACAACAACAAAAAAAATCTAATAGTGATGGCATCTCATCAAGTTGCCTAGGCTAATCATGAACTCCTGAACTCAAGCCATCCTCCCAAATTGACCTTCCAAATGTTGGGTCTGAGCCCTGGCCAGCATGAATTTTCTAAGTCAGACCAAAGAACTGTTGACAGATAACTTTTTGTTGAGGGAGGCTGTTCTGTGCATTGTTGGATATTTAGCAGCATCCCTGACCTCAATCCAATAGATGCCAGTAGCAACTCGCTCCTGATTATGATAACCAAAAATGTCTCCAAACATTGCCAAGTGTTCCAAAGGTCACTTCTCTGGTATCATTTAACTTTCCAGCAACATTTAAAAAGAAAAGAAAAGAAAAGAAAAAAACCTGACCACCCTTTGTTTAAAAACTTTCTTTTCTGATTGTGTCAAAATCAAAGGGCTGGGCACGGTGGCTCACATCTGTAATCCTAGCACTTTGGGAGGCCGAGACGACGGGTGGATCACCTGAGGTCTGGAGTTCCAGACCAGCCTGACCAACATGGAGAAACCCCGTCCCTACTAAAAATACAAAATTAGCCAGGTGTGATGGCGCATGCCTGTAATCCCAGCTACTCGGGAGGCTGAGGCAGGAGAATTGCTCGAACCTGGGAGGCAGAGGTTGTGGTGAGCCGAGATCGTGCCATTGCACTCCAGCCTGGAAAACAAGAGCAAACCTCTTGTCTCAAAAACAACAACAACAACAACAACAACAACAACAACTTCCTTCTCTTGGCTTTTATGGTACCTCACTTTCCTGGATTTCTTACTCCTGTGTGGTCTGATCTTGTTTTTTTCTGTTTTCCTCCTCCTATACCTAATCTCTATTGGAGTGCTCCAGAGGTTGGGTATGTACTCTCTTCTTTTGTTTATCCAGATTCTCTTCTCAGGGAATCTCATCCAGGGCCTTAGTTAAAAGTAATTTTTATATGCTGATGACTCCCCCATTCTTATTTCCAGCCATGGAAATAACCAACATCCCTGAATCTCCAGAATTATATATACAATTATTTATGTTACATCTTTACTTGGGTATCAAAAAAAAAAAGATAGTTTGCCCCAGCGCAATGGCTTCCCACCCCATGCGGCAGAAGGATCCCTTGAGGAAAAGAGTTCAAGGCTGCAGTGAACTATGACTATTATAGCGCCACTGCACTCTAGCCTGGGCAACAGAGAGACCCTGTCTCTAAAAAAAAAGAAAAGAGGCCGGGCGCTGTGGCTCACGCCTGTAATCCCAGCATTTTGGGAGGCCGTAGGCGGGCAGATCACGAGGTCAGGAGATCAAGACACGGTATAAACCCCGTCTCTACTAAAAATACAAAAAATTAGTCGGGGGTGGTGGTGGGTGCCCATAGTCCCAGTACTTGGGGCTGAGGCAGGAGAATGACATGAACCTGGGAGGCAAAGCTTGCAGTGAGCGCCACTACACTCTAGCCTGGGCAACAGAGCTAGACTCTTTCTCAAAAAATAAAAAGGAAAAGAAAAAGAGATAGCTTAAGTTTAACAGAACTTTTGATGCTGAACCCCAAACCCTTTTTTCCCCATATATTTCCTATTTCTGAAAATGGCATCACTATCCATCAAATAGTTCTAGCCAAAAACCTAGTACTCATGCCTGATTTTCTTCTCTCCACATCTAGCCCAACAGTATACCCTGTAAACTTTACCTTCAAATATATCTTGATTTTGTTCACTTCTATCTCCATTGCAACCACCTTTGTTCCAGCCATAATATTTTTCACCTGGACTACTGGAATTGTTTCCTAATTATTCTCCTGGCCCTTATTGTCCCCACTCAGTATTCAGCGTTTTGTTTTTTTTTCTTTTTTGAGACGGAGTCTCACTCTGTCCCCCAGGCTGGAGTGCAGTGGTGCAAACTTGGCTCACTGCAACTTCCGCCTCAGGTTCAAGCGATTCTCCCCAGTAGCTGGGATTATAGGCACCCACTACCACACCCAGCTAATTTTTGTATTTTTAGTAGAGATGGGGTTTCACCAAGTTGGCCAGGCTGGTCTTGTACTCCTGACTTCAAGTGATCCACCCGTCTCAGCCTCCTGAAGTGCTGGGATTACAGGCATAAGCCATCATGTCCAGCCAGTAATCAGCATATTTTTTAACATGTAGTAGATTATGACAGTACCTTGTTTAAAAATCCTCCAAAGGGCATAGTAGCTCATCCCAGCACTTTGGGAGGCCAAGTGGGGGCAGATCATTTGAGACCAGAAGTTCAACACTAGCCTAGGCAACATTGTGAAACCCTGTCTTTACAAACAAACAACAACAACAAAAATTCTCCAAAGGCCTTCAGTTGCCCTAAAAACCAAACCAAACTTATAACGGTCCTTTCAGGGCTCTGTATGAACGGCTCATTTCTATGTCTTTATCTCATACTATTTTGCCTCTGATCCAAACACAATGGTTTTCTTTCTGAATTTGAATATTTCAACCTCGTTCTGCCTCATGGATTTTGCATTTGATGTGTTTGCCAGGAATATTCTTCTCTTGGCCCTTCCCATGACTAATTTCTTCTTTTTTGTTGTTTTTGTTTGTTTTTTGAGATGGAGTCTCACTCTGTCCCGCAGCTGGAGTGCAATGGCATGATCTCGTTCACTGCAACCTCTGCCTCCCGGGCTCAAGCAATTCTGCCTCAACCTCCCAAGTAGCTAGGATTACAGGCATATGCCATGATGCCCGGCTAATTTTTGTATTTTTACTAGAGACGGGGTTTCACCATGTTGGCCAGGCTGGTCTCGAACTCCTGACCTCAGGTGATCCACCAGCCTTGGCCTCCCAAAGTGCTAGGATTACAGGCATGAGTCACCATGACCAGCTGATTTCTTCTTATCAGAAAGGTCTCAATGTCATTATAGTGGATGATGTTGGTGCCCCATCCAGATCCCTTTACCAAGCTGGCCTGCCCATACCAGCTGCTGTGAGTATTAATGGCTATGGACTCATAGTTAATTTATTTTCTAGAGAAATGTCCTCTATTAGTC